TTGAGCCGCATTGGCCCGTGATGTGTTGTCCGTTGGCTTCTTCCATGTTATCAGCGCATCATTGCATCACCAGGAATCATCAACAAATTGTAGTCGTCGCACAGACAGATGTTTCGACAACGAATTCGCGCTATCGCGTGCCTTTCCGTGCCAACACTCAAAAAACACCCCTAATCATATCCCCAACAGCAGTAACAGCAGGCTCCTTTTTGAGGAAATCAACAGTTGAGGCAGTTGAGGTTTATGGATTCGTCCAGGGCCAAGGGCTTATGAGTTTAAATTAGAATTGCGGGTGGTTTGTTACCACTTGTACCTGTTACCTGTTCCCGTTTCTGCTGCAATGGAGCCAAACCCTAAACTCGAAGCCTAAAAACCCTAGCCCTAATCGCCCTAATCTCACGAAAACCTGGACCCTGATCAGCCCTGATTCCTAAGCCCTACAAACCTCATACCCTGAACCCTAAATTGCCCTAAACCCTGATCCCCAAACCCTAAACCGTGATCCTTAAACCTAAACCCCATACCCTAAACCCTGATCCCTCAACTCTAAACTCGAAACCCTGCCTTTGGCCGCACAAAACCTTAATTACCGAGAGGGGTCCGGTAATTAAGCCCTGCGCCTGGATCCGGTCTAATTCCCGAGGTCCATCCTTAATTATCGGGGTCTTGTACTAAATTACCGGGGTCCGGCCTTAATTGCCGGACCCCGGCCTTAATTACCAACCCCCCCTCGGTAATTAAGGTTTTGGACCGGCCTTAATTACCGGGGACTGGGCTTAATTACCGACCCCCCCTCGGTAATTAAGGTTATGGAAGCATGTTTTGGTGCACTTTCGAGCGCTGACCCCCTCATTTTGACGGGGTCAGCGCTCGAAAATGCACCAAAACATGCTTCCAAAAGCTTAATTACCGAGGGGGGGTCGGTAATTAAGGCCGGGGTCCGGTAATTAAGGCCGGTCCAAAACCTTAATTACCGAGGGGGGGTCAGTAATTAAGGCCGGGGTCCGGTCATTAAGGCCGGACCCCGGTAATTAAGGACAGGCTTGCACCATAAACGATTTGCGACGAGTTTTAGCTGTTCTTGCTGTTTTTTCGGTTTTGTCCTGACCCGACCTGCCTGCCCCTTCCAGGGTTGTGGTTGCCCCATGGCTGCCTTGAGCCTACTGACTGGCACTGGTTTAGAACCCAGAATCCGAATAACCGACATAACCGCATACCTCTATACTATATCCACCTAGTCACCTAGTCTCTACACACTTGCCACTAACCCACTGAAGGCGCAAACTTGGTCCTAAGCGCCCTTAAGTTGCGAAATCTCAGTTTGAAAGCTTCACAAGCTGCAGAATGGATCCTGCATCCTGAGTACGTCTACACCTACGCAAGGTTTGAGGTTCCGACCGTGACCCCTCACCCCCTAAGCCTTAGGCCTAAGCCCTAAGGCCATGAATCTCCAAACCTTTAAACTTGAGGCTCATGGCGCTGGGGAAAAAAGACGGCCGACAAAAACTTGTAAGGTTTGAGCAGGCTTGAAGCTTAAGGGTTCGGCTCACAGTGTCTAGGGCCCAGGCTCCTAGGGTTAAGTTTAGTTTGGGAGGGCCCTAAAGCTTAAAACCCTAAACTAAGCCTTGCCTGAGGCTTGAACTGGATAGAACCGAGAGCAAAACATCAGACACCTTTGTCGTGCGTGGGCAACGGCATAAACCACAACCTAAGGCGGAAAATGTAGATGGACCCCACGAGGCAAGAAAATTGAAATCAAACGTTTCTTTCGTGGTGGCAAGGGCAGCACCAGCCACCACTCGCAGCTCGTTTGGAAGCATTTTTGTGGGTCTTTTTCGGTCGCAATGACGGCAGTGTGCTTTGTACGGTCATGTGCATACAACCCACCCTCGGGAACCGAAATGTGCTTATTCCCGGGGTCCGGGGCTTAATTGCCGGACCCACCCGGGACCCGCGCAAGTTGCCACCCTGGAGTTGTAGATGTCCAGCCGCATCGGCCAGTGTCTCGCTGAAATACAGATAAAGCCTCTTGTGCAATTAGGCGCATGACGGATTCGCGTGTTTCTTGAGTGCATGACGGATTCGCGGGTTTCTTGCGAGTCCGAACGCAACATTCCGTGTTAACAGCTGCAATTCGAGGAACAGGATGTTGTCGAGCTGCGCTGACACTGCCAGTGTCTCGCGGAAATACACATAAAGCTTCTTGTGCAATTAGGCTCATGAAGGATTCGCGGGTTTCTTGAAAGCATGAGGGATTCGCGGGTTTTTTAGGGTGTGAACGCAACATTCCGTCTCAGCAGCTGCAATTCGAGGAACAGGATGCTGTCGAGCTGTCTGGCACCGCCTTTCGCTCCGGCCATGTGCTGTTGAGTTCCCGCTCCGGCGCGATGCTGTCGAGCCGTGTGTGGCGACTTTTTCCGCTCCAGTCGCGTGCTGTCGAGCTAGCGCTCCGGCACGATGCCGTTGAGCTGTGAGTTGCGACTTCTCTCGCTCCAGCCGTGCACTGCCGAGCTCGCGCTCCGGCACAATGCCGTCGCTCCCTCTCTCCACGCTTTTCGCTCCGGCCATGTGCTGTTGAGTTCCCGCTCCGGTGCGATGCTGTCGAACCGTGTGTGGCGACTCCTTCCGCTCCAGTCGCGTGCTGTCGAGCTAGCGCTCTGGCTCGATGCCGTCGAGTTGTGAGTGGCGACTTATCTCGCTCCAGCCGTGCACTGCCGAGCTCGCGCTCCGGCACACTGCCGTCGCTCGAACCGTGTGTGGCGACTTCTTCCGCTCCAGTCGCGTGCTGTCGAGCTGGCGCTCCGGCACGATGCCGTCGAGTTGTGAGTGGCGACTTCTCTCGCTCCAGCCGTGCACTGTCGAGCTCGCGCTCCGGCACAATGCCGTCGCTCTCTCTCCTCTCACCCCCTCTTCGCTCCGCTCCCTTCTGCTTTGCTCCTCTCCTCTCCTGTCCTCTTCTCCTCTCTCCATTTTTCTTCTCTCTCCTCTCCTCTGCTCTCCTCACCTCACCTCTCGCCTCTCCTCTCGCCTCTCCACTCGCCTCTCCTCTCGCGTCGTTTCCTGGTCTCTTCCCTCTCTCCTCTCTTCTCTCTCCTCTACCCTCTCCCCTCTCCTCTCTGCTCTTTGCTCTCTCCTTTTTTTTCTCCCCTCTCTCTGTCCTCTCTCCTCTCTCCTCCTTTCCCCTCTCTCGCCTCCCCTCTCCCCTCGCCTCCCCTCTCCTCTCTTTTCTCTCCTGTCCCCTCTCCTTTCCTTTCTCTTCTCTCCTCTCCGCTTCTCCTCTTTCCTCTCCTTTCTCCCTCCGCCCTCCCTTTCCTTGCCCTCCCCTTTTCTGTGCGTGGCGACTGCTTCCGCTCCAGTGCGTGCTGTCGAGCTAGTGCTGCGGTTGTGAGTGGCGACTTCTCTCGCTCCAGCCGTGCGCTGCCGAGCTCGCGCTCCGGCACACTGCCGTCGAGCTGTGCGGCTATGCGCTCTCGAGCTCTCTCTCCACCCCTTCCTCTCACCTCCTCTTCGCTCCGCTGCTCTCCGCTCCCCTCTGCTCCGCTCCTCTCCTCTCCTCTCCTCTCCTCTCCTCTCCTCTCTTGTCCTCTTCTCCCCTCTCCATTCTTCTCCTTTCTCCTCCTCTGCTCTCCTCGCCTCTCCTCTCGCCTCTCCACTCGCCTCTCCTCTCGCCTCTCCACTCGCCTCTCCTCTCGCCTTTCTTTTTCTCCTCTCGCGTCTCCTCTCGCCTCGTCTCTCGCTGCCCTCTCGCTTCTTCTCCTGGTCTCTTCCCTTTCTCCTCTACCCTCTCTCCTCTCTCCTCTCCGCTCTCTGCTCTCTCCTCTTTCCTCTCCCCTTTCTCTGTCTTCTCTGCTCTCTTCTTCTTTCCCCTCTCTCGCCTTCCCTCTCCCCTCCGCCGTCAAGCTGTGCGTGACGGCCAGGAAAACTGGCTGCACAGACAACGTGGCCAGATACAAGCAAAATACGCGCAGGCGCGATTGCAGCCTGCTCTGCAACCCTTCATCCCTCAGCGCACCCAAAAACCGCAAAACAAGACAAGGGAATTCCTGGCCATCGCTATACTGCTATACGAGTGCGGGTGTCCTCTGCGGGGTGCGTGAGAGCTCCCAGGAATGATTTTCTGATCCATCCGTTGTCGAACTCCAGGCAGACTGCAGGTCGTCAGAGCTAGCCAGTGGACTTGCCAGCCATGCCGCGTGGTGGTGGTACCCCTGCGTCGCGCAGCCGCAGCCGCCCGCGCAGTGACGGTGTGGCGCCGCCTCGGACGCCGCCGCCTTCGACTGCAGGCGTCTGCAACTGTGCCGACCCGGGATCATGTGTCTCCCCCATCCTGTGAGGCACGACCCTGACGAGCGATGGCGAGACCTGGACCTCGTGGAATTCAGGCTTCCATGTGCATTGCGTGCTTAGGCCTCGCATGATTTGGTGCATGCGCTTGCTCTCTCGCCTGTTACAGGCCACACGTGGGACTCGTGGAGCGAGCCACGAGACGGTCGTGGCGAGTGGTACCAAGGCTCTCGAGGCCCGGTTCGCTTCTCCGCGACTGCTGCTACTCGGCTTTTGTTTCAGGCGTTTATCTCGTGGTGTCCCTTTCGCAGTTACTCAGGACTCAGGACTTGCGTCTCTTGCTTCAGTCAGCGCTTCGTGAACACTTGGAGGACTTACGTGGGTTCCAAACCACTACGACCTATCCCCTGTCCAGCCAGACCTGTCGACGGTTTGTGTTTTCTGGCCGTGTTATGTCTTGTTCCGCAGATTCTGTCCATGATAGTAGTACTTAAACAATCTATTCCCAAGCATCTGCCATGACAGGAATGCAGAGTTGCCTAGTTTTTTTTTAGCCTCCGCCATGACGGTGTCCAGAAAAGCACAGAATCGAGTATTTTTGTGGTAGGGCGTACAGGGTTGACTAGATTGAAGGAGGCCCGTAGCCATTTTGGCTCAAGTCCAAAAGGGGAGGGGGGGACTCATTTGTGTATGGGTCGGAGTGATCGTCATGCGCGATGGGTGACGAGGAGCCTCAGGAAGAGGCTGACTCCAGTCTGTCATGGCAGGACTTACCTGAGTGTGTCAAGAAGGCTCTTGATCAGGAGTCGCGACAGCCCTCTCCCGAGATTTTGTCGAACTTGTTTTCAGATGATTCAGACATCAAAGATTTTGTGGAATCACTGGGACTTACAATGGGCTCAGCTGAATGGTTCAGTGCATGCGAAATACTTGAAAAGGTTTGCTCTGATGTATCACCGGCTGCAGATCGCGTCTTGAGGACTAGAGCGGTGCAAGGTCAGCTGGCGCAAACGTCCTCATCGATTTCGGCTGGGCCTCAGCAGCAGCTTGAAGTGGGCACTGGGTGGCTTCAGACAAGAGCCGGTGCAAAGCGATCCCTCACAGCGTGGCCGTGTCGGTTGGCCAAGAAACTTGCCTTGGCCAAGCACGATCGTGCGAGGGCCGACGCTGAGGCTGCAGAGCTCCGACGCTGGAGGCAGGCTTTAGCGAAGGAGCTGAAAAGGGCTTGTATGCCGGTATGCTCAATGGCAAGTTACGCCCTTGATTGCCAAGCTGTATTGGAGGCGTCAGCAGGAATGCTTAGAGCGTCCACCCTAAGGCGGCACGTGAGGGAATGGTCCAAGTTTTCGGCATGGTTTTTCGCTGTTGAGGGGACAGTGTTCCCCTCGCATCTGGGCCTCTTGATGAATTATGTGGAAGAGCTGGCAGGCACCTTGTGCCAGGACCAGACTACAGTCTGTGCTCTCTGCAGTGATTTTCTTCGAGAGGGTCGGAGGAGTCAAGGCCGAGGCCTCCATCTCCTCTCATGTCCTGGTGCGGAATTTGGTTCGGGTTCGCACTGCTGAGCTTGAAGCAGGGGCGCCGCCTACCAAGCAAGCTCCAGCGTTGGCCCTCATCATGGTCATGTCTTTAGAGGCTGTGGTTGTGAACTCTGCGCATAAGAAGTTCGTCAGAGCGTATGCGTGGGCACGGCTATTGAAACTATGGACATCTAGCAGGGCCAATGACCTGCAGGGCATTCTACCGGAGCAGATGACGATGTCTTCACAAGGATTACGAGGAGTTTTCGATAGAACGAAAACCTCGGGAGCTGACAAACGCATCAGATGGCTGCCGTTCTTTGTTTGCAAGGATGCTTGGCTTTTGCATAGCGATTGGCTGGCTACCGGATTTGAGATCTGGGCTTCTGATGGGTTTGCCTTCTCCAGGGATTATCTGGTGCCTCGACCTACAAAGGGACTGACCTCCTGCCTGCCAGTTATGGCGAGCTATGTGGATATGTCAACGATGTCCAAGCAGCTCCTGTGGGAGCTAAAGCGGCCAGAGCTGACCGAGGCTGGGAGTGTGCGTCATACTGATGTTGCGCTTTTCGAGGATCCGAGTGTTGTTGCTGCTTTTACCGAACATTCCGAGAGAAACTTCATTGCCACACTTGCGTCATGGTCGGGTATCGATCGTGAGCGTCGTTCCTACTTGGGACGTTGGCATGTCGTGGAAGCTTCAGATGAGTACATTCGGAGTGCTTGGTTCATTGTCACTTCGCTGCAGCGACATGTTATTCAGAGCCTTTGCAGCAACCCCGCCTTTCTGGAGGTAGGTCTTGATGATTTGTTTCAGGCGCTACAGAGGGCCGGGGTCGAGAGCTCGGTGCGTGACAGGGCTCTTGATCTCTTGCGGCCGTTGGAGGGCTGGGCCGAGTTTCGGGCCCAACATCTCGCTGAAAGCAGCGGGAAGGGCATCAAGCCTGGTGATCTTGTGATGCCTGCCAGGACGCCTGAGGTCAAAGATGCATGCAAGTTCTTTGTATCTGTTCTAGGAAAGAAGAAGCTGCGGCGGCTTCATCGTGTAGGTGGATGCGGCAGCACGCCTGAGTCTGTGGCAAACTGTGAATTGTTTGAGTCGCTGGAGGGCGTTTCTTATGATTGGCAATGCAAGCACTGCTTCAAACCTGAGCAGGGACAGCAGGCAGCCCAGGCGGACGCTTCGGGTTCGGAGGACTTCTCCTCCAGCACCGCCGATGAGGCACAGACCTCAGGAGAGAGCTCGAGCGAGTCGTGATTGCTCGGACTGCAAAATGTGTGCACCCCTAGGGTCGATCGTGTTCATAGTGAGAGTGCTACTGCTGCTGGCAAGTGTACGTCAAGGGATCATGCTTCCACTTGCAAGTGTACGCCAAAGGATTGTGATCTCGAGCTGGGAAAGGAACGATCAGTTTCTTCATCACGCGTCTTGAGGGCCTCATGGAACCGGAGCCTGCTTCAGAGCCGCCTGCTGAGCTTCACGAGAGGGAAAGCACGGATGATACTTTCTTGCTGCTTTCTGACCATGTGTGGGAGCTTGAACAGCGGGTGGCCGTTTTGGAGCGGCGACTGATTGCAGTCGACCCGGTGCCTAGGGAGGATCTTCGGAGAGAGATCACAGGCATCTCACGAGCCTTTTTCGGGCTGGCCGATAGGGTATCGGGCCTGGAGCTTCGTGTCACTGAGCTGGTGAGGGCGCTTCGGAGTTGCTTCGCAGGATTGCGCGGCTAGGCTCCTGAATGAACAGTGTACTGCGACGCGGGTGAAGGGTGTCAGGCCTGGCAAACTTCGGTGCGTGCGCGAGTGATCGCATCAGCATGGTGAGATCGGCAATCAGCGCAAAGGTTTCGCCGGTGACGGTTCAACCAGGGTGCGTTGCTGAATTGAGTATTGTCCTGCCTTAGATTTTTAGAGCTTTTCTTGCGTCTCATGGCGGCGCCGGCTGCTCTGACGGCCGCGCAGAGAGGGCACTTGGAGACGTTGGGGCCGGATCTCAGGTTCCAGCTTGAGCAGGCGGATGTTCCGGCTGTGTGGCAGGCTAGGCTGGGAGAGCTGGGGATCCGCAATGTGGCATTGTTCTCGGGGCTAGACGAGTCTCGGGAGCGGGTGAGAGCTGCACTGATTGCGGAGCTGCCCATCGATCCTACAGCGGGGGTTGCAGAGCGGCTCGTGGTTGCACGCCTATTGGCGGCTTGGGAAGCATCCAGGCTTCACTTGCAGGTTTCGGAGAGAAACAAAGCTGAAGCGCGGCTGGGGACTCAGCAGCGACTTGTGCAGCCTAGTGAGCATCATGCCATGCGGCTCGCAGTTGAAGTCTCGCTCGGGAAATTGAAGGACAAGGAAGTTCCTGCCAAGTCCTTGCTAGCGGCCAAGCTAGAGCAGATCGAGAACAATCAGCCGGTAGCCGAGCTGCTTACCGAAGTGGCGTCGCTCGAGGATTCAGAACTCGAGGCGTACTCGGCAGTGATCGATCCTACTACCAATGTGCTTAAAATTGGGGACTCTTACTGCATCGCAGGCTTCCAGCTTGCAGGTGTTCGGAGAGAAACAAAGCTGAAGCACGGCTGGGGAGCTCAGCAGCGACTTGTGCACGCCTAGTGAGCATCATGCCAGCTGCGGCTCGCCGGTTGCATCAAGCCTCGCTCGGGAAATTGAAGGACAAGGAAGTTCCTGCCAAGTCCTTGCTAGCGGCCAAGCTAGAGCAGATCGAGAACAATCAGCCGGTAGCCGAGCTGCTTACCGAAGTGGCGTCGCTCGAGGATTCAGAACTCGAGGCGTACTCGGCAGTGATCGATCCTACTACCAATGTGCTTAAAATCAAGCCTGGGAAGACTCTTACCATATTCTACATTCAACCGGGCCACGTTCGTCAATCGCACGGGACCACCGCCTCTGCGGAACTCGGACTGGCCGGAAGGTTTTCCCTGGCTCTCCGGTGTATGGAAATCCAAGGCAGAGGCTGGAACGAGTTTGGTGCGCCGGGTATTGTCCTTAGCCACCCTGGCCACCAAGGAGCATGTACCCTGGTTGATCGAGCATCCGGAATTTTTGGGTGCTACAGCGGCTGGTACCCCGGCTTCAATCTGGACTTGGGAGGAAGCTGTTCGTGTTTTCCAGGAGACTCGCGCCACTTCAGTGGCCCTTCATCTTTGTGCCTTCGGCGCCGCTCAGAGGCGGCCGACACGATTAGCTGGAACCTGGCACGGTCTACGGTCGGTTGGTGTAGCCGGTTGGCCGCGACTCGATCCTCAGCAACACTATCGAGGGCCGTTGTCTCGCAAATGCGGTCATGCACATGCCCCTCTCATCGGCACCGACCATACTGGTCATTTTCTCGCCGGGCCGGCTGCTTACCCTTCGGGCTTCTGTGAGGCGCTGGCCAGTATTGCGGTTCTCACCTTCAAACAAAGAGTGTCCTCCGAATCGGTGTTGGGGGAGGAGCAAGTTCGTTCTTCAGACACTCTTGAGAATGCCACTTCGACCGCGGTGGTCCACCAGGCTGAAGCTCTGGCAGGGCGTTTGCAACACTCGGCGGTCTCGAAGGAGTCTTTACTTCAGATCTTCGACTTGCTTCCCGGCGAAGAACTGGCCCGAGATGGAGTCACTTGGAAGGATTCGAAATCTTTTGCTGTCGGGGCTTATGCCGTGGGCGGTAGCCTTGCCGGCCTTCGTAGAAACTCCAGGTTGTTTCCCGGGGTGGCTAGGGTTTTGTGTAGGTTCGTTCGGGGTCTGGACGCGAGCTTCACATTCTCTGCCATTGCGATATTTCGCAACCTTCAGACGGCCCCGCACCGAGATACAGGCAATGAGCGAGGATCGAGAAATCTCGTGGCAGGTCTCTCGTCCTTTCGGGGCGGGGGCATCTGGACTCAAGATGGTGGAGGTCAAGAACCGTGCCCTTCGAATCCCTCCTTGGGCTTGGGACATACTCTCGAGTTCGATGATGGCTGTCATGTTTGCTTCGATCCCACCGCTTGGCACTGCACGCAGGCTTGGGAAGGGACTAGAACAGTACTCGTGGCATACACCCCTCGGGTGAATCCTTCCTTTCCTTCGGCTGACTGGAGGTTTCTGGAGGAGCTGGGATTCAACTTGCCACCCCAGCCGGGGGTAGCATCCTTGCCACGCGCGGTGAAGCGCATCCTGGAGGACAACAACGATGATGCCGCGCCGAAAGACGATGAGTGGTGGAGGCCTAAACCCGACAACCGCGACGACGAGGAGGAGGGTGGCTCAACTTCTGAAGAGGATGTCGATGGCGTTCCCAAGGCAAAGCTAGGTGAAGGCGTACTCGGCTTTGGACCTCCTCTGAAGGCCACTCTCGTGGGAAAGCGGATTGATTTCTCTGATGGACATGGCTTGGCATCTCCTGGTCGATGGTTGCCAAAGGACAGGCCAACGAGTCTCACGCGTCCGGACATTTCTTTGCACGGGCAGATTTTCGAGGACGCTCTGCACGTGCTCCAGAAACACATCGACGTGAGGAAAGAAATCTGTCGCTTGGCAACGGGGAGGGCCACGTCTTCGCCTTTCCCTGATTCGATGGTGGTGGAGATGCGCTCGCTTGTTTTCCAGCGGCTGAGGGACTGGGGCTCCAAGAAAGAGCTCGAGCATGTGGCTCCTCGACAGCCTTTCTACCTCGAGGCCATTGGGGAGCTCTTGAGGGCAGCTGGAGACCCGGATTGGAGACAATATGCTTCTTCATCCGTGTCCTTCGCAAGAGGGGTTCCGATCGGGGTAGGGGATCGTCTACCTCGGACGCCCGCACTTTTCGAACGGAAGTGCAAACACAGGAAGTACCCCGATGCTGACACTCCGCTTGAAGACGGCCTTCGCGAAAACTATCCCGGGGCGCGAGACAACCCCGTACAACTTGACGAGCAGCTCGCCAAGGAGATGAGCCTGGGGGCGATGATCGCGCTCGACTTGGAGGAGGCCCGGGCGAAACATGGTGATTCCCTATCTGTCGCATCGCTTGGGGCGGTGCCCAAGCCAGACGGCTCTCTGAGGATCGTGCATGACGGCAGCAATGGGCAGCACGTCAACGATTGCATCCGTGTTCGGGATGCCCAACGATATCCTACGGGCGCTGATCTTCAAACTGCCGTGGAAATATTGCCGCATGCTTACTTCTCTCTGAGTGGTGACATCAGCAGAGCTCATCGTCTTTACCTTGTGCAGGCGCAGGAGCGGGACTGGCCCCGACAAGCTTGTCGCGGATCAAATCCAAAGAAGGTATACTACAACTGCGTGGGGACGTTCGGCATCGCTTCAGCTTCATACTGGTGGTACAGACTCATGTCGGGACTGGGCAAACTTCTGTACTACTGTCTACAAGGCGACCCGACGGTTCTCCTGAGCTATGTGGACGACCTCATATGGCTTACCCAGTCCGGAGACGGGCTGATCAAGATCTTGGCGACCATCTTATTGCTTCAGGTACTGGGGACCCCATTTGCTTGGCATAAGTTCGCCGGGGGACTTGAGCATGGCTGGATCGGGTTCTCGGTGTTCGCTTTCGGGAGGACGATTGGCATCAGCCAGTCAAGGACTGATTGGATCGTCGGCTGGATCCGTAAGACCAGGGCCGACGGCATGGTGCGAGTGGCCGACATGCAGTCCGTGTTGGGCCGCCTCTCATTCGCTTTCACGGTCCTTCCGATGCTGAGACCCTTCCTGGGGCGGCTGTACGCTTGGACCAGTGCAGTGTCTCATCGCCACACCTTGCGACTCCCCAAGGCCGTCGACTTGGTTCTGGTCTTCGTGGAAGCGCTGCTGCTAAAGGGTCTTAGGGTCACGAAGGTTGCACAACATTCGTCTGAGTCGGCTCCGGAGCTCTTCAGGACGGATGCTAGAGCAGAGGGGCCAGAGATGCATATTGGAGGATGGTCATGTGCAGACTCCGACGATCCTCGTCGGTGCCGATGGTTTGCAGAGCGGATCAAACCTGAAGATGCTCCTCTCTTCTTTATGGCGGGGGAGTCTTACCGTTCCATAGCGTCCCTCGAACTTCTGGCCACCATGGTGGCGGTGTTGCTCTTCGCTCCTACGGGAGCGGGCCCTTCGCGGACAGTCTGTTCAGCGGGGACAGACAATAAGGGCAATTCACACATTGTCTCGCGTTGGCTCACGACTTCATTTCCATTGGTGGCCGTATTGATGGAATTAACTGCTGTGCTCCTTGAGAAGTCGTGCATGCTCGAGCTCACGTGGGCACCACGCCTTCAGAACATGCTGGCTGACTCTCTGACTAACGGA